GACTCGACGGCACTTAACAACAACACACCCAGAAGACCAAATAATACAACAAAGAACATCCATATAAATTAAGAAAAGATTGAAGTTGTCAAAGATTTCATTTTGATTGGATCATCCATCACCACTCCTGGAAACAGCATACAAGAAATCAAACAATTTATTTCATTAGGCAAATCTGCTGCACAAGACCTCTTTAAAATGTTCAAGAACAAAGATTTCAGTTTGATGACCAAGATGCACCTAATCCAATCCCTGGTATTTTCAATAACCTCATATCCTTGTGAAAGTTGGACACTGTATAAACAAGACCATAGAAGTACTGCTGTATTTGAGTTATGGTGTTAGAGGAGAATACTTAAAGTACCATGAACTGCCAGAAAGACAAACAAATCTGTATTGGAGGAAATATAGCCAGAATACTTCTTAGAAGCCAGATGGCCAGAATTTGTTTCATATACTTCTGTCATATTATAGAGAGTGACCAGTCCCTGGAAAGGAACATCATGCTTGGAAAAATGGAGGGTCAGCTAAAAAGAGAAAGACCCCAATGAGGTGGATTGGCACAGCAGCAGCAATAATGGGCTCAAGTGTATCAAAGATTGTGAGATTGGCTCAGGCCTGGGCATTGTTTCATTCTGTGGTGTATTAGGTTGCTAAGAGTTGCTACCAACTAGATGGCATCTAACAACAACTACAAGTTGTATTAGACAATAAACAATCTATTTAGAAAAATTCATTTGAGGAAATGAATTTTTATATTACAAAGAAATGTCATCTCCACTTTTTTTTTTAAATGGTTTCTGTTTATTCAAGTATCATATTTACCGTATGATATATTCCACTGTGGCACTATAGGATAATCACTGAACTGCTAACCACAAGGTTGGTGGTTTAAACAAACCAGTCACCTCTTGGAAACACTATACAGGGTCTCTATGAGTCAGAACTGATTCAACAGCACATAATAACACAACATGATATATGTTGTTTTATTGTTATATTGTGTTTTTTCAAATTTCCAATTTTTTCTAACTCATTAAAAGACAACTAAATAAATAACCAACAAATTTTTGAGTAAAAGTTAATTAGCCATCCCTATGAAATCAAACAAAAGTCTATTTTCTTCTCTTACACATATATCGATATTTCTTACTGATACATTCAAAAACATTTATACTTAGAACTCATATCCTGCATGTTTAGAGAAAAATAGAGAAGGACTTTGCTTTATAATTGTTTTTTGTCTACTACAAAGAACAGATAAACTTCATTTCAAGACTTTTAGATGTAGGTAGAATTGTAGGGTTATAGATAATTAGAAGTAGAACTATCTATCTTCAGAGCTCTCTGAGAGAGAAGCTGGGACTGGTCAAAGCTGACTACAAACAATATAAATCTTGTAGATATAACAGTCAACTAAGGAAATCTAATAAGCAACTTGATTATAATGACTTGAGAGTTCTTATAACATTTTATTACATAGCAATAATTAATATTCATTATATACCTATTACTGTTATTATATCTTTGATTTAAAAATTGACTTTGGTTTTATTTTTGAATGCTTGTTTTCTTTTCTTTCCTTTCATTTTTTCTTTTTCCATTTTTTTTTTTTTTGTTTGTTTGTTTGTTTTGTTTTCCCTTTTTTTTTTTTTTTTGTTTGTTTGTTTGTTTTGTTTTCCCCAGATGACACGTGAACAATACATATTAGCAACACAACAGAATAACCTGCCAAGGACTGAGAATGCACAACTTTATCCGGTGGGAATTTATGGATGGCGAAAGAGGTGCTTATACTTCTTTGTCCTTCTGCTGTTGGTTACCATGGTAGTTAACTTAGCCATGACAATATGGATATTGAAAGTTATGAATTTCACTGTGGTAAGTACCACCATGATTTTACACTTTTGCTTTTGGTTCAAACACAATCCAACTCTGTGATTTTTATTACTTTAATTGAAAGTTATTCACTTTAATTTTTACTAAAGTACATATCTTTAAATTCCAAGGATCATCATTTTAAGTTTATATTCAGTGCATTTAGTTGTGATTTATATGTGATATTACTGCATGTCATTTGAGTATGAAGAAATTTAATTTATGAAGGGCACAGCCTATTGATTCGTTAGAAACTTAGAAAACATTTAACCAATAAGCATATATTACTGCTTATTATACCTGGGGATGTAGGTGATGAAATCTGCTTTGAGAGATAATTTTTGTATCAATATTAATATTAGAAAATAGAGATGATTTTGAATCAAAACATTTACCTCTAGATCTGTTTTTTTTATGTAATATAATGATTGCAGTGAAATTCTGGAATTTCTCATGAACTGCAGGGATCAAGTGTATATTATCATCAAATAGAGAACTCTGCCTTTTAGAATACAAATTAGTAAATAGAAAATAGACAGAAAGTAATTATTTAATGAAAATTAATAAACTAATCACAAGATTTGATGGAATTTATGGTGCATCACTATAGTCTAGATTAAGCTTATTGAATGTAAAATAAATCTAGGAGTAAAATTTATCTGGAAAAAATAGTTGCTTCAACAAAGTATGTTAGCTCATTTTATATTTTTTGCAAAAGTACTTAAGTGCCTACACTCTGCTTTATAACTTCTTCCTTTCCTTGGGTATCTTCTGATCTAAGCAGATATATTTCACTGGTTGACCTAGTTGATATCATTTTTAATACTTTGTGTCTTCAGGGTGAGTCTAAAGCTGGCTATTAAGCTTCATGGATTACCATATATTGGGCTTTAAAAATTATTTTATTTTTTAGAACTCTGATGTGTATTGATTAAGTGAGAATAATTTTGCTCTGATTTCACTAATATCTAATTGTAACTCAAAACGGAATCTCAGAAGGGAAGATGACTATGATAATTCTCCATCAATTATGTTGTTATGCTATTAGGTGCTATCAAGTTGGTTTTGACCCATAATGACCTTACACATAGTAGAATGAAACACTGCCCAGTCCTGCACTATCCTCACAATTGTTAGAATATTTGTATATTGTAAGTGTTGTTATTGTTGTTAATGGCCATGGATTCAGTTATGATGCATAGCCACAAGGTTTAGGATTTCCAAGGAGTGGCTGGTGGGTTCTTAACTGCCAACCTTGCAGTTCAAACTGATCTTGTGGTCCAGGGCTTCGCCTTCAGAGCCACAGCAGTGTTGGGCATAACAATTATTATGTATCCAGGGATTTGCTGGCAGTAAGGTTAACCTTCTAGAAAAGAAATACCTTAACTTTGTGGTTTAGTTTAAAATGGCAGGTTAGTGGAGAAATTTGAGCTGAAGAAAGGTTTCATTTTTTTCCCCCCAATTCAGAACAAATTTTGAAAAGTGCTCATCTAAAAACTGAAAACAGTAACATCCTTAAAGACAAAGAAAAGATGGGTAAAAGTCAATGTGGCCCAGGATTAAAGGAAATAGTCCTCAAAAATAACTGGTAGTGTGCTTTAGGATAAGCACTGGACTGCTAAACGTATGTTCAGAAGTTCAAACCCACCAGCTACTTGGAAATCCTATACAGAGTTGCTATGAATATGAACTGACTTGGCAGCAAACAACAGCAATAACAGAGACTGATTTTGGAACATAGGTCAAGATATGTGAGGGTTGGCCTTTGGTTATTTGATGATGCATGAAGAGGATTGTAATCATTGCAAATAAATGAAATATGATAGGATGAATATAAAACTGATATTCTTCCATGTAAACCTCATAATAAAAACTTATTAAAAATAATACTATTATAATTTAAAAATAAAAGATATGTGAGGGATGGAGTAGATAGAAGTACAGTTGGGGAACAGTAGACAAATTATTCATTTACGAAATTCCCTGTTAATGCATCTGAACCACTCTTTTGTCTGAGTTGTCTCTTTTCTCCCTCTCATTTGGGGATACTTCAACACTGATGTAAATACAGGTCACAAGCACTGCTCCTGGTGTTCATTTATCTGAGAACAGTACACACCTTCTCTGATGAGAGCCATGAATGAGTCATATACCACATGGTAGTGGTGATGCTTATATCCTTGATGAATTTTATATTTGGCTATCATTAGCAGGCAAACTAGCAGTGGGTGATAGTAACTTTTTCAATCTCACAACTTTTTCAATCTCACTGTTTTTAACGGAAAACTATACAATTGAATAACATTCCAAAAGGAATAATAAAGTTTCTTCCAAGTTTTGAAATTCTGTGAATTTTTCAAAAGCGTCTTTCTAAATCTACTAAATGATAGCTTCAGCATTTGTACCTCAGTGAGGCTTTTTCTATCCAGTGATGAGGTCAAGGGAACTTTTAGGTTAAAGTCATATAAGCTTCTTGTTGCTTTTGTTGCTCTGGAGTCAATTCTGACTCTTAGTGACCCTGTATAGGGTTTCTGAGGAGCAAGGAGTGGTTGGTGGGTTTGAATCTCCAGCCTTGTGTTTCACAGATCAGTACTTACCCTGCAGCACCATACCAGGACTCCATAAGCTGCTTAACTATATTTAAATTAATTAGGAAAATGTACTTAGATGCATACTTGCATGGCTGCATGCATCACACTCCCATGGATATTGCCACATGCAGAGCTCAAGTCCAGATAAGTCATTTAAGGAAGAAAATTGAAGCAATCACCTCTGTGCTCAGGATTCTCATAGACCTCAGGGTTTCTGTTACCCATGGAGCTATCTAATTTGAGCCTCAGCTGGCTACAATGCTGCCATAATACTTGGGATAATAAAAAGGGTTTTTCCCCCCTACATTGTTGTTGTTAGTGTACAATCTAACTTAAAATGATCCTATGTAGAACAGACCCAAATTCTTCCTAGTCCAGCAACTTACCTCATGAAATTCATTCTTGATATTTTTTTTCATTTGTAGCATGTATTTTAATTTTATGTCACAGTTTTACCTTTTTAAAATCTAAAAGGAAGCTCTAGCTTCCTTCAGCCATGTAAGCTATTTATGTGTAAACTAATTATAAATATGAAGTTACAATTATTATGTCAAGATTATCATTGTAAGCAATACATTCTATCTCAATGCAACAATTCATGATTTAATTTTTCAGAGAAATTTCAAATCAATTAAATTATTGCAGATTTTAGCAGTCCTGAAAAATACGCAAATGATTAAATTGTATACACTTGAATAGTGTGAAATAGTTTCTGCTTATGTTATATTACAGCAGTTAAAAATCAATTTTTTGTTTTCCTAGTACATTATCATACATTCATATGTCTATGTTCAACAAACACCAAAAACTATTGCCACACAATACAAAGAAGAAGAGAATGATGTATAAATTGTTTGTGGGGTATTATTGAACTCTATAAAATGCATTTTACTTTCATATAACTGTGGTTATTTGATACATGAAAATATGTGGCTGTTAACATCTTTCATTTGAACCAAGTGGGCATGTTATTCTTATCAAGATAATTGTGTTTTCAGCATAGCAAGGGTAGCTGGCAACCTATTTTATGATGTTTCTTTGAGTCCATCATTCTGACCAGCGTTGTATGATCTGCACAGTTGATATGACCTTATTAACTTCTGTCTTTCATTTTATGAGGGGGAAAAATCACTCTGCTTATAGAGATACCCAACTATATAGAACCAAGAAAGAGGAAATTAGTTTACACTAGAGGGTGAAAGATTTATGATAGATATAAACAATAATTTCCTGGCTGTGAGAGTTGATAAATAAATGTAGGAATGAATTGTAAAGTGAGAACTGGAAACTTCATTCTCCTGAGACCCCTAAAACACAGTTACAACATTTACTTGTTTGTTTGTTTGGCATAATGTCTTTGTGATTCAATATAAATTAACAGGTCTGGAAGGATTAATCCAAGCATTCTACTAAGGAAATCTTTTCTGTATGCAAGAGCCTTTTCTAAGTAAATTATGTCTAGATTTGAAAATCGATTTTAAAAAAGTACTTACCTTAATCACAAGGACAACAATTAAATTTTGGTGATCCTAGCTTTAATGTAATTATTTTAGATTTGTTACACAGCAAAAGAAAGAATAGGATATTTATTAAGCAAGAAGGCAGCAAAGTCATGAATGTTATGACTAAACAGTCAAAAATAACCAGAAATAGACAAAAAAAAAACTTTTTAAAGAATGTTACGATCAATGTGTTAAGTGTTGCCTGAAAGGAAATTTCATTAGAATGAGGATTAAATAACATAGTATTAAAAAAATAAAACTGGGAAATTTTGAGTTCATGTATTGTTGAGTTTGTCCTCCAATATTCCCTTCTTTTGGTCACTTGGGATCAAATAATACTCTTTCTTTGGATGATAGACAAACTATCACATTAAATCAGACAGTTTATTGCTGTTAATAAATAGCCTATGATTTCATTGCAATTTCCTGTGTGTATAAGTTCAAACGTTAGGTTTTGGTTTTGTGTTTTGTTTTTTGTTTTTTCATTTTTCAATATGATGAATTTATTAAGTAATTTAATCAGACTACAACGCATTTTTCATATGAGTATCCTAGATTTCTTTTTTAAATATCTGAAAATCAACATATGTTAGAGAGGATCTTTTGTAATCACTTGGTTTTGTTTCCCGCCACCTGATTTTATTCACTTCAAATATAATTTGTGTTACATCATCAGAAGTATATGTTTTATGGTAACTTTCTCCTTATAACTATAAGCCATAGAGTCATTACTATTTTTTTTTTTTAATGTTCTTTTCTTTAAATGGACCTTTCTAAAATTGAATGTTGTTTTTGTTGTTAGGTGCCATTGAGCAGGTTGTGCTTCATAGGAACCCTACGCACCATAGAATGAAATGCTGTGTGGGCATGCGCCATCCTCACAATTGCTATGATTGAGCACATTGTTTTT